TGTGCCCTGACTGGGAATCGAACCAGCAGGGGCTCAGTGCACTGGATGATGCTCCACCAACTGAGCCACACTGGCCAGGGCCTGCTTACTTTAAGTTTTAAGATTTCTTTATGTATGAAGGATGTGAGCCCTTTGTCATGTAGTCTCAAATATTTTTCCCATTTTATGATGGCCTTTTAATTTTATGATCTGTTTGCCACACAGACACTGAACACTTTTGCTTCACTTAATTTATCTTTCTTTCTGTTATGGCTTTGGCCTTTGATGCCATGGCTCTAAAGAGTAAGTGTATCTTTAATGGACTTCCACTCTTTCTCTGGGACTGTTACCAGCCTAATCCCTCTAATCTCTAGGCAGTCTCACTCTGTGGACCGGGATAAAGGAGGTGGGAAAGAACTGTGTCCTCCTGGAGAGCTGTGTGGTAACACCTCTGTCAGCCTGCGGTTGATGAAGGCATTGAAATAAAAAGTCAACAATTAAACAAATATATAATTTATTAACAATCTAAAACTAAAAAGCTTGAAAGTTTAAGTTCATTAACTAAAATCTAAACTAAATCTAACAATAAATCTATAAGTAAATGTGCAAGGTGGTGATGGCCACATGTGGTCAGGCGGATAAGGCCCAGCTGATGATGCCTGACCTTCTCCAGGTGTCTCTGCACTAGGCCCTTCTTCCCAGGGTGGGCAAGGAGGACTGTTTTCTCCTTAATTCTCACAGGTCAGTGTTCTCCCATCCTTTCCCCATGACCTTTCCATACCTTCCCCTCTCCCGTCAAAATGTTCACCCTTTATGCTCTCACTTTTGGCTGATGACTTGGCCTCATACATTATTGGGGGGTGGGGGGGAAGCCATCAGATATGAACTCTACCATCATACCATAGCCAAATCTACAAATGCTCTGGCATTTAAAACATCTTTTACTTTAGCCCATCTGTTAAAATTGAGGATGTATCTTACGATTTCATCCTGCCTTAACTCCTCTAAGATTTGGACCTTTCAGTCATGCTGTCTCATGCATCTTCAACTGATTTCTTTCTATAAATCATTTCCTTCAGCATACGCTCATTTCCTTTATCTCTAACTGTAGATAATACTCTCCTGTGACCCCAGCCCCACCCCCATCAACAACCATGCTATTCTTTTGTTTTTTTAGAGAGGGGGAAAGAGAGGGAGAGATCGATGTGGGAGAGAAACATCGATTGGTTGCCTCCCGCAGGCACCCTGACTGGGGATCGAACCTGCAACCTGGGTAAGTGCCCTGAACAGGAACTGAGCCCACCACCTTTTGGCGTATGGGAGGACACTCCAACCAACTGAGCCACACCGGCCTGGGAATCATACTATTCTTATGCTCACTTTTGGAGCCAAGCTTCTTTTAACAATTATTAACATATGCCATCTCTAGTTTCTAACCTCCCATTTACACCTGATATCATTCTAATCTGGCATTAATACCCACCATTTCGTCAAAACTATTTTTGTCAGTGATAACTCTGTCACTTAATCTAATGAATGTCTAATTAAACCTCTCAGTAGCTGTCAGTACAGCTGACCACTCTCTCCTTCTTGAATTGCCTCTTTCTTAGTCCCTGTGATGCCAAAATATTCTTGGATTTTCTCCAATTTCACTTATCAATTCCTTTTACTCTCATTTCTTAGTTCCATTCTGTTAACATTTAAATGTAAGAATTTATCAGGGTTTGGTCCTAGGTTCTTTTTTCTCTCTCTACACTGTTTATCTAGGTGATTTCATCGATTTCTTTAGCTTAATACAATCTATAGGCCAACAATTCCTAAACTTGCAGCTTTAGTCCAGAGCTCTTTTCCGAAATCCATATTTTTATGTCAAGTGGGTCTTTGCCTTAGTCCCTTTGATGTCTCAAAGAGATCTGAAACTTCTTGTGTTTAAAACTCATCTGAGCCCGGCCGGGCGTGGCTCAGCGGTTGAGCGTCGACCTAGGATCCAGGCGATCAGGGTTCGATTCCCGGTCAGGGCACAGGCCTGGGTTACAGGCTTGATCAATGACTTTCTCATCATTGATGTTTCTGTCTCTCTCTCTCCCTCTCCTTTCCTCTCTCTGAAATCAATAAAGATATATTTTAAAAATAAAAATAAATTTAAAAAAATAAAATAAAACTCATCTGAGAGGATTCACTTCTAGATTAGAAGTGATTTTGAGAATTCATATAAATCTAGAGGAATCAAGTGAGTGGAGCATTAGCATTAGATTTAAAAAAATTATTGATTAAGAGAGGGGGAGGGGTTTATTCCACCTATTCATGCATTCATTGGTTGATTCCCATATGTGCCCTGACCAGGGATGGAACCAACAGCCTTGGCGTATTGCGAGGATGCTCTAACCATCTGAGCTACCCAGTCAGGGCGAATTGATTTTGACAAAGATAAAAGGTAATTCAATGATGAAAGAATAGTCTTTTCAACAAATGATTCAAAACAATTTTCAAAAACAACTGCATATAGATATCAAAACAACTGTACATCTACACACACAAAAAAAGAAAAAGTGAACCTCAACCCTTTCCTTACACCATATGCAAAACATAACTCAAAATGCATGAATCAAAGGCCTAAAAGTAAAACCTAAAAATTTTAAACTTCAAGAAGGAAAAATAGGAGAAAAATATTTGTTATTTGGGTTATTCTGAGATTTCTTAGCAAGAACACGAAAAGTACAAACCATAAGAGGTAAAAATTGATCAACTGAATTTATCAAAATTAAACACTTTTGTTCTTTTAAAGACAGGAAAATGAAGTAAAAAATGAATTTAAATATTTGCAAACCACATATCTAATAAAGGGCTAGTATCCAAAATATGTAAATAACTCTCATAAGTCAATAATAAGAAAATAAATAACCTTAAAAAAACCCCTAAAGATATGAATAGACATTTCATCAAAGTGAATATATAGCTGGCAAATAAATACATAAAAGCATATTCAATATCCTTGGTCATTTGAGAAATTCAAATTAAAATCATAATGAGATACTATTATAGACCAATTAGAATGACTAGAATATATATATATTTTTAATCTGACATTACCAAGTTTGGCAAGGACGGAGAGCAACTGGAACTCCTACACATTGCTGGTGGGGATGAAAAATGGTAAGCTACTTTGCAAAACAGCTGGGCACTTTCTTATAAATGTGACCCATCATCCCACTCCTAGGTATTTACCCAAGAGAAATGAAAGCATGTCCACGTATGAACATGTGTGCAAATATTTATATCAGCTTCCCCCCCCCCCAAAATAAATTAGCTCAAACTTGAAGCAATCCAAATGCCCCTCTACTGGGAAGTTAATAAACTGTGTTACATCTACACCAGAAATTCTACTCAGCAATAAAAGGTCTAATTTACTGGTCAGTGCAACCACATGGATGAATCTCAAAAGCATTATGCTAACTAGGAGAAACAAGACTCAAAAGGCTACATATTGTATAATTTAATTTATATGACATTCTGAAAAAGACAAAACTATAAAAATAGAAATTAGATCAGCAGTAGCCAGGGGTGGGAGAAAGAGTGGGGGGATTAACTACAAAGGGCATCAGGAAGTTATTTGAGATGATTGTGGTGATGTTTTCACAACTATAGGTTTCTCTAAAATAGTGAATTTTACTGTGTGGAAATTACACTCTTGTAAACTTGACTTTTAAAGAACTGATATAAAGATCTTCCCCATATACATACTTATTCCTCAAATTTTCCCCTTAAAAAAAAAGACATCTCTATCCACACACTTTCTGAAGCCAGAAACCTACAATTATTCTTGCAATTTATTTTTCCTTCACTGTCCCCCCAAACCCATTTCTAATCCATCTTCAAATCACATCACTTCTGCTTCTAAATCATATCATAAACCAATCTCCTAATCTTCCATCCAAGTCTGCCCTTCGTGTGAATCACCGTCCCTTCCCAGATACACCATTGCAGTCGCTTCCCTGATGGTCTCCCAGCTTCCATGTTTGCCCCCCTCCAACCCAATTTTTATATGACTCCAGAATGATGATTTTAAGTGAAAATTAAACCATGTTGTTTTCTTGCTTAAAACTTCTCAGTGGTTTCGTTTCTCAACCCCATACCTTGGCCTTTGGCAGGTCATATATGGTCTAACACACCCATCTTCTGACACTGCTCTCTCCCCTCTTGTCCTCCCACAACCCACAGCCATGGTGCTCTGGCCTCACTGGCCTTCTTCCATCTTTGAATATTCCAAGTTTTTGCTCTCCTAGCAACTTTGCACATGCTATTTTCTAGACCTAGACTCTTCTTCTTATTGGATATATATATATTTTTTTAATGGCTAGCTACTTCTCATTATAAAAGTTCAGCTTACATATCATATCTTCAAAAAAGTCGTACATTTTGTAATGGTTCACACATGACATTCTCTTTCATAATGCCTGTTTTGCTTCTTTCCCAATTGATAACTTTTTATTTATGAATTTATTTTGTTAACATTTACCTCACCTACTAGAATATAAGCTCCTTGAAGGCAGAAACTATTTTTTTCTTTTTCACTTACTTAGCACATTACCTGACATAACATAAGCATTAAATAAATACTTGTTACATGTGTAAATTAACAAGCCTTCTACAATTAAAAAAAGAAAAGATTCCAATGAGATCATCACTGAATGACCTAAGCCAGCCAACATAACAAATCTGTCTCTTATCTATCGCCTATCTATCTATCTATATCATCTATATCTATCTATCTATCTATCTATCTATCTATCTATCTATCTATCTATCTATCTATCTATATCATCTATATCTATCTATCTATCTATCTATCTATCTATCATCTATCTATCATCTATCTACCTATCTCTCTATTTTTAGGGGCCTTGAATCAGGCTTAAGGCATGGAGATACCTACTACATTGTCTGAGATAAGTAAAGATCACCAAGTTTCAAAACCATGAATGTCAAATAGATGACAATGTCAGCCACCCAGAAAAGCTTACCTCTCCAAACCAATTGCTTAGCACAGAGAATGGAGCTTGGAGTTGTACAAAAGTGTAAAGCTGTGTGTCCACTTAAGGAGTAGCAATTGAGCTTTGCTCCATGGTCACAAAGGATCTTAACACAATCCAAGTTGGCCATTTCACAAGCCACATGAAGAGGAGTTTTCCCGTTGGGTCTACAGTTGATTGTAGCATTGTGGTCCAGTAGCACCAGAAGACATTCCACATGACCAAACAAGACAGAGAGATGCAGGCCCGTTGCCCAAGAAGACTTTAATTTATAACTAGGCAACCAATAACCTGAAAAAGAAAGGGAAAGAAAGTTTAGTTTCTTGGGCTAGGATTTCTCCATGCTTTGTGAAGATTTTTACAGAGTATTTTACTTTGGTCACATTTATAAAATTGGAGGGAGAGATGGTTCAGAAGTTGTAAGCTAGTAGCCAATGGGTCTACAAATGGTTAGTTAAGTGTCATATTTGGATGTATAAAGTGGGACAGGTGTTCTTGAGTTCTTATTGTCTCTACTAGTCTCTATTACCTTGTTCCTTTCCTTACTTTGCCTTCATGGCTCTCCCAGGCATTTGAGTCTGAGACTTTCATTTATGGTTGTATTTTATTTTATATGGTGAGTTACACAAGACTCATATTTAAGAATTTTTAAAAATCCCAATCAGTCTTGAATGATTCCAAAGCTGTTAGTTACAAGCTTAAAATTTTTATTCTATCACAGCTCTTGTCCATATAGTTGTTGCTATTGTTGTCAATCTAAGGTGTGAATGTATTTGATGTCTTTACAAAACTTGTTACGCCAAGATTTTTTTGCCTGTTTGTCCGTTCACCCAATACCTTTTCCAAAGAAGAATTTAAGGCAACTCATACATTTTACACTATTTTTTTTAATAATCTAGAAAATAAGGGCAAAAAAAAAATAAGGTAAGAAAATAAAAAGAGGTCAAAGGTAAGATAGGTACACAAAATACATACCGTGTCTTGTATATCAGAACTGCATCACAAATTTGCTTTTTAACTGCCTCGCAGGAAATACATAGGAAAACATATGCTATGCAATTTAACTATGCCCACAGACTATATACAAATTAATTGTTCAGGAGAATCATAGCTGTTCCTAGAACTGAGATCTTAGATAATTTTTTTTCCATTAGTTGTTGGAAATGTTCTCTGTCTCTCTTGTTTCTCTCTCTCTCCTTTTTCCTTCTGACCTCTGACTTCTAAACACTGGGCTAGTCCTTTTTATCCAAGTCTCCAATGATTGCCACATTTGACAAGCTATAACAAAAATAACTTTGTAAACCTTCTTTCTACGTTAATACCTACAGCCATGACTTTAAGCTCACTATGAGTGGGGAACAGAAAATAAGTACAGACAGATGAAATATTGATGGCAAGATGAAAATGCAGAGATGACTCAAGAGTGTAGAAGAGAGTCTAGGGCTGAAACAACAAAATACATTAAAAATTTTTTATTGATTTGAGAGAGAGAGGAAGAGAGAGAGAGAGAGAGAGAGAAACATATCAATTTGTTGTTCCATTTATTTATGCATTCATTGGTTGATTCTTCTATGTTCCCCAACCGGGGATCGAACCCACAACCTTGGCATATTGCAACAATGCTCTAACCAACTGAGGTACCCAACCAGGGCTCAAAATACATTTTAATACAGATAAGTCAGAGGTTTGCTTTTAGGCTATAAAAATTCCACTATACACATACAACACAAGCAGAATATGGTTTAATGGTCATTTATTTGAGAAAAGACTTGGGGATTTGAGTTGACAGTAATCTCAAAATGATCCAATAGTGGGATGAAGCTGCCAAAAAGTTAATACAACCTTAAGCTACATTAATAAAAGTGCAGGGCCCAGGGCAAGAGAAGTGAAGTTGTATTCTTCACTGAGTAGATGAGGTCAGAATAAATCTAGAATATTGTGAATACTTCCGGGCACCAGTGATGAGTACCTAGAGGGCACTAGAGGGTGAGGACCATGTTAAAAGTGGGCGTGGGGATCAGGTATTAAAATTCTCTCATTTAAGTGAAAAACACTACGAATGTGCTCCTCCTGGGTATTTATCCTACAAGTATAATCACTCATGTGTGAAATGCCCCGTAAGGGCCACCGTATTACACAACTCCCAGGAACACCATTGTCGTTGAACTCTTTGTGAAGGGTATGAAGCTCCCAGGAGTTATGAATCTTGGCAACCTGGCCTAGGGACAAGATCATGCACTACCACATGCATATGCACTACACTAAAGCACTGCTCTTGAGGATTGTGAACAACCTCAATCTTCGTCGATAGGAGACTGTGTACGTAAACTATGGTACATCCATACAATCGAATACTACAGAGCCGTTACAAAGAAGGGGACAGCTCTGTGTATACTGATATGGAAAAATCTCAAGACATACTGTTGAGGGAGAGACGCAGGAAGCTGAACAGTGTGCAGAGTGTGCTATCATATGTGAATATATTTATTAACACCTAGAACAAGAACTGGCTACAGTGTTGGCCTCCAAGAACTGCGGTTTGGGGGACAAGGCCATAGATTTACTTGTCCTTGAGTGTTTCCTTTGAGCTTTTAAGTTTAGTACCTTGTGCATCTATTATTTTTTATAAAAATAAGTAGAATTAGAATAAAGGAGTGTCTCCCTGTCCAGAAGGGGAAAACGATTTCATTTAAAGAGGCCATTTATAGGGTCATGCACAAAGCTCATTAATCCTGAGGGAATGAATGAGCCCAAACTGAAGCTTATTTTTCTGCAGCCCATGTTCTAACACACACACACACACACACACACACACACACACACACACACACACACACATTTTAATCCCTTTTCCAACCCATCAGAATTCTAGGGCCATTTTGCTTTCTCTTCTTCCCAACTCTCCCGTTATCTCAATCTGCTCTTTAAAAGGAAATCCAGCCCGGCCGGGCGTGGCTCAGCAGTTGAGCGTCAACCTAGGATCCAGGCGATTGGGGTTCGATTCCCGGTCGGGACACATGCCCGGGTTGCGGGCTCAATCAATGACTCTCATCATTGATGTTTCTGTCTGCCTGTCTCTCTCTCTCCTTTCCTCTCCTGAAATCAATAAAGATATATTTAAAAAAAAAAAAGGGAAATCCAAAGTTAATGCACACTAAGGTCTAAGAACTGAGGATGGTTTAAAGTGTGATCCTCTTAGGATTATCTGAATTTATCTAGAAATCTGTATTCAACAAATAGAATTAAATTCTAAGATACTAATTTGAGATTATAGACACTGAGAAGGGAAAATATTTGGCTATATGGACTTTTCCTGGCAAAGACACATAGTGTCACAGATAGCCTGGGCTGGGGAGTACCAACACTGGGCCTGTAATGTGCATATGTGTGTAAATAAATATGCACACACAATATATGTGTCTATGTCCATTTATACATCTTTATGTAACTATTACATTGAATCTGTGTTCAAAAGAATTGTTAGGCTATATGATCTGCAACCTACTTTTGATAACGAATGAATCACATTTAACATTAATACTCAATCCGTCATTTTAATACTCAAACTTCCCCAACAAGCCCTTTGCAAAGGCAGCCTTTTTCTAACTGTCTTGGAAAGAAGCTGGTTCCAGGTCTGAAACCCGGGGTGTGTTTTGCCTGCCGATTAGCAGCAAAGATTAAACAGCTCTCTACGGCCGCTGCCTGGAAATTCATGCCTGCTCCTGCAAGGGAAGAAAAATGATCTCAGAAAGGAAGCAGCAGAGAGCTGATTAAGAAAACACCATTTTGATGTAAAATCAAAGACACACAGAATGTTAGCGCTGGAGGGAAGATTATCCAGTCCAAGCCTTTCATTTTCCAGATGAGAAAACTGCCACTTGTTCAGCCTGCTAGAACCAGAAGTCTCCTGCCTCAGTTCAAGCTAATGGACTAGGGCTATCTGCAGGGCAGGGTTTCCATCTATCTTTGTCTTTGTGGAAGCAGAAGAGGTTGAGCTCCAAGCCTGCTTCACAGACCTCGAGGAAGGAAAGCAGCTCCCGAGTAGCACCTAGAGAATCTATCCTGCCCGTTTGTTACACGAATCAGTCATCCTTGGCCCCTCAGTTTCATCTTCGTCTCCTATAATAATTAACTAGTATATTGGGCTGGGACAGCCTTAGGTCCTGGAATTCAGCTGACCCCTGTATGGAATTGTGCCCCTCTCCTAGATGGGGATATACGTAGGTGGGTGACAGTAAGACACCTTCACTGGTGTCCCCTAGGTGGCTGAATGGAGAAATAGTAAGAGGCCAGACGGGTGGAGGCAATCAGGGGCTCCTGAAGGGTATCTTGAAGATGGGTTGCAGAACTTTGGTGGTGATGTGAGGGGAGAGGGTTGTTCTGGATAATTCAACTCTGAGCATAGTGACAGGAACAGCCCATAGCCAAGAGGCCACCCACATACAATCACCACCTTAAAATGAGGCTGAGGCCACAGGTCACTGTGTACCAAGTGTGGAAATGAGCAACAGTGTCCTTTCCGCCACACCTGCCCTCACTGAGGACCAAACCTGAGGCAGGGCCATCTTCAAACAACTGCAGTCACACGGCGCCTATTAACATCCTTGTGCTCATGCTGATAGGTCAAGAGATTTGAATTTGTCTTCCAAAATATAATCACCAACAATCACAGCATGAGGGAAATATGGTTAATCAGGCAGATTCATTTTTCACTCTCTCCTTGTTTCCACAGCAGAATCGTCCCAGGCTTTCAGAACCCAGAATGTGATTTATTTTTAGCATTTGTCTTTGAAAGGGCCCCCTCTGCTCACCTCTGCAGAGGCCAGGCTGCCGTCTGATTACGTGCTCAGACTGCACAAAAGACAGGGGTGGAGCAGAGCCTGGGAGCAAAGCCTTTGGGGGGTGGGGTGAAGAAGCCGCTCCTTCCCCCAGCGGCCACCATGCACACTCAGCCCCAGGTCGACAGTCTGTGCAGGGATGGCCCCTTGCAGGTGACCTCTGCTTGAGCAAAGAGCATAACTGGGAAGAGAACACAGATTTTTTTTCTCCTATGCAAAAATCCCACAGAGAACTCTCAAATCCAGGCCATGGCCATGTGGATTTAGAGCACAGTTACCTTTTACCTTTCCCCAGGCCATGACATATTATCTGTATATATAATTTCCTCTTCATAACATTGGAGATTAGCAGCATGCACAGGATTTAGAGAGGGTCTTGACGAAGCCTCCACTTTACAAATAGGATAATAAATTGTACAGATTAAGTAGCATAAAGTACCCTTGTTTGTGTAA